ACTAGCCCCCCGAATAAAATATTTCAAAATACAACTAAAAGTAATAACTTAAAAATTCTAATATAAAATAAAAAATTAAATCTGTATAAATTTATTTTTTGACAAAAACCATAAATTTAAAAAAGAAAAACAATTAAAAATTAAAACAAAGTGAAAACTATAAAATAAAATTAAAAAAAAAAGGTGACATTCAGCCACGCTATACCACAATACGAAAAAAATTTCAAAAACAAATCCAAGTAAAAAATACTATTATTTGTGTATTAAGTAACTTCTCAAAAATTAATTTTCACTTTATTTATTTTCAAGCAAACAACATTTATTTTTGTTCTATTTCTTGCATACTTTTCTTCCCTTCTATTTTTTTTTCTTTCCCTCACTTTATTATTTTCCTCACTCTGAAACACACTGTACACGCTTAAAAAAGGTCTTGCATTACAAAGAAAATCTTAAACTAATAGATTACAGTTTGTAAGTTTATTAAAGTTGAATGCAGATATAGCTCCACTAAAAAAGAATAATAACAAAATAAAGTAAGAAATAAAGCATAAAAATATTCAAATTTAAAATTTAAGTTGGGTCTCAACATATAACAAGATTATCCACTACAAAAATATATGCAATTTAGCGACTACTGAAATTGGTCGCTAAATTGCAAAAATCGGTCGCTATTTACTTTAACGACCGAATTTAATCAGTCGCTAAAACCCTGGTCGCTAAACTATTTAGCAACTGAAAATATTTCGGTCGCTATTTAGCGACCAAAATTTTCGGTCGCTAAATGTTAAAATTAGTTATTGAGCGATGTAATACTTAGTAAAAGTTACACCGATGTTATTATAACCCTTCTCTTTTAAAATATTATTTTTATATATTAAATTTTAACATTTTAAATAAATTATTAATTAACTTAATATATTTATTCATCTTAAATCTAAGATATAAAATTCAAAAAATGTATTTATCCTTGTTTTATTTTCTAATTATCAACCATTAATAAAATACTAATTTAAAAT